GCCGGGTAGGGAAGGCTGTGCCTCCCCAAACAGCCTGGCCCCCACCCCCTATCCACCCCTCCCACTTCCCGCCCCCTGACATGCCCCCCCCCCGGGACTCCCACTCCCAACCCACCCTGTTCCCCATCCCCTGCCCGCCCCCCCAGAACCTCTGCCCCATCCAACCGCCCCCTCCTCCCTGACTGCCCCCCAGGACCCCCCGCTCCCTTACCCAACCCCCCCACTCCCCGCCCCCTTACCAGCAGCAGGAGCTCACAGCCGCGACACCCGGCCAGAGCCAGCTGCGCTCCCCAGGCTGCCCAGCAGGCGTGGCTGCGGGAGAGGGGGGATAGCGGGGGGACTAGGCTCCCCGGCTGGGAGCTCAGGGGCCGGGCAGGACGGTCCCGCAGGCCGTAGTTTGCCCACGTCTGAGCTAGGCAGAGAAGAGTTGGACATTCCAAGGGTGGCCTGATGAACAGAGCGTTGGACTGAGAGTAACATTCATTAAAGGCAATGAGGGACCCATACAGTGCTGAAGCCTGTGTGTGTCGGAAGAGTATCTTCTGTTAGTGTGTAGCCAGAATTCCTCCGTGGCTGGAGCCAATTGGGACTTCCCAACAGGACTAATTAACTCATAGCCGGAGTCCCTCCCGCTCCCGCACCACTCCAGGTGCGAGAAAGTTACTCGCTTGTAAGGCCACTCCAGAGTTCGCGTTCCTGTACGCTCACGTTCTGCGCTGGGGAGGGGGGGGTCAGACCTAGGCTGAATAAAATAGAAACATGACTGGTAGGAATCCCCAGTTTATAATCCTGACTGCCTCTGGAAACGTGGTCGAAACGTGCTTTCTTAGGCCAGAATAGCTCTGTTGAAGTCACTGGGCTGCACTGGTACAACTGAGAGCAGAATCTGTGTCTCGGTGGGGGGCGTTATTTTTCAGGTCGCCGTCGTGGGAGCCAGACCTGTTTAGGTGAATGCAGCTGGCTTCCGTTGGCTATTTCTTGGCCGGTAGAAACTTGGATGTGATGGGAGTGTCTCTGTAATTTGTGGGAAGAGAGGGGATTTCCCAATCGCTGAACTTCCCAGCAGATTAATTCACAGATTCTCACTGGGAACCTACTGGGATTCCCTCTGGAATGGGGGGGTCTTGTTGAATGGGCAGTCTTTTTCCATCCTCCGCACCTGAAATAACATCTGGACGCTTCCCTCTGTCTTCTTTCCAGTAGATGATGGAATCAGGATTAAAAAGGAGGAGCAGGAGGAAGACACAGAGACCCCGGAACCGCCCAGTGCATTCTCGGGAAAGTTGGAGGAAGGGAGCAGCCCGCCGCAGTGTGTGAAGAAGAAGAGGGGCCTGGCTCGAAGCAAATCCCGCCAGAAGCTGCGAAGCCGGGTGGCGAATGCTCAGGACAAAGCCCCGAGGGCTCCTCCCCAAAAAGCCTCGCTAAAGAAGATTCCCCCGACGTGTCCGGAGTGCGACAAAAGCTTCAAGAGTAACACAGCCCTGACCATCCACGAAAGGAGTCACACGGGGGAGCGGCCCTTCAAATGCCCTGAGTGCGGGAAGGGTTTCCCATCCAAGGGGGACCTGAAGAGACATCAGAAAACCCACATGGGAAAGGAGGATGCTGCCCCCGAGAGAGGGAGGAGCCTTTCCGAGAAGCTGCAGAGAAGCCCTCAGGCACCCAAGCGGCCGTACACGTGCGCTCAGTGCGGGAAGAGCTTCAACAAGAGCAGAGACCTCAAAAAGCACCAGCGCACCCACACGGCGGAGAGGCCGTTCCGGTGCCTGCAGTGCGGGAGCAGCTTCCGGCTCAAGCAGATCCTCGTGTCCCACCAGAAAGTGCACAGGGGAGTGAAGCCGTTCCAGTGCTCGGACTGCGGGAAGAACTTCAGCCAGAAGCACCATCTCTTGAGCCACCAGCGCACCCACACCGGGGAGAAGCCCTTCTCCTGCGCTCAGTGCGGACACAGGTTCAGCCAGAAGCACCATCTGATCAGCCACCAGCGCATCCACACGGGGGAGCGGCCCTTTGCCTGCCCCGAGTGCGGGAAGAGCTTCAAGGACAAGAAAACCCTCATCATCCATGAGCGGATCCACACGGGCGAGAGGCCCTACAAGTGCAACGAGTGCGGGAAGACCTGCAGCCAGAAGCAGCACTTGAAAAGCCACCAGAGGGTGCACAGGGGCAAGAGGCCACGTGGCAAAGGGGAGGAAGGCCTGGAGGATGATGTGGGTTTCTGCCGCCAGAAGGTCCCGGCAGAGGAGAAGCCGTATCAGTGTGCGGAATGCGAGAAACGGTTCCGGGACGAGCGGATAATGCTGGCACACCAGAGAACTCACACTGAGCAGGCGCTGCTGAAGAGCACGAGGACAGGTGCCAGTCGGAGCCCACAGCCCATGGCCCAGCAAACGCCCTTCACCAGCACCCCGCAGTGCAGGGCAAACGTTAGCCAGAAGCCACCTCTGAGAGCCCAACAGGGAACCCCGGCTGGCAAGAGACCTTTGGTGTGCAATGAGTGTGGGAAGAGGTTCATGCAGAGCAAACGCCTTGTGCTACATCAGAGGAGCCACACGTGAGGGAGAACCATTTGTGTGGGTGGAACGTGGCAAACACTATGTCTAGGAGTTGGGATCTGACAAGATGCAGGAGTGAAACACCGTGAGCTCTAGGGTAGGCAGAACTGCTCCTGTGAGACCGCATGTCTTCAGAGGCCAACCGAAAAGCCTCCTTGGAAGCTACCTTCCAACCTGGGTGTGCAAAAGTGACATTTGTGACACACACACTCAACTCCCCAGGCCCATCCTTGCTGTGGGACCTCGCTTAAAAGCAACTGACCTGTCAGTCTCCTCTCCAGAGTACGAATTTTCTACAAGCAACTGGCTTGGCCTCCTAACTGTATAGGTTGTTTGGCTGCCTAGTAAATACACTAAAATATCTTAACCAAAATGTAAAGAAGTGCCCCATGACGTACGCTAGCTTTCTAATTACCGTAGAACCGTGCTACTTTGCACAAGTGTCTGTGAAAATTGCTGAATCTTGCCAAGGAGACGCTCCGCGTATAATCAAAGAGCCGGGCTGCTGCCTTGTCATGAACATTGTTCGTTTATGCGGGCGTGCCGTTTAGGTTTGTTTATGCTCTAGTCTATTAGGAAGTGTTCTGCGGTGTACTTTGGGGAAGCGAGGAAGTCTGAGTAATAGGAGAACTCACTACACCACTCGATCAGATCTTGGCAGAAAATTGTAGCAATGCTGTCTTTCTTTTTTTTTCATTTGTTGAGTGACGTAATTAGCAATGGTCTGCTGTGTCTGCTTTGATTTTATCCTTCCCGTCTGTCTCCTGTATAAATCACAGAGCATTCGCAAATAGCACTACGATGCTATTCCCAGTCACGTGCAAGTCCCTATGGAATGATGCAGCATGCTGGATAAAATCCATGTTCATACACACACAAAAAGGGGGGTAGATTTTTCTCTCTAATCAATAAATTAAAAGCCTCTAAAAATGGCAGATACCCTGTGGCAATCCTGCACTTCTCCTTCCACCTGGCCCACGGCTCCTACCCTCCGTATCTCTCTTGTGCCCTGAACTCAAGTGTCTGTTGTGTCCATTTCCTGTCCTTTCAAGCTACTTCTCCCGCCGGTTTCCTATCGCCATACAGCAGTGGATTCTCTGCGCTGCTCGAGAGTTGGATCCCACTGGTTTGACTTGAACAGGAGTCCGATGGGGCCCGTTGGGGGTGGGAGTGAGATCCTAGGGTGACCTGTGGAGGTGCCACCCGAGGCTGGACTGACAGCTGCTGTCGCTGCCTCTCCAGCGTTCGCTACAAGAGAGTTAATCTGCAGCTTTTACCCACAGAGCCCATCACCTCGACCAGTGATAGTCAGACTGGGGCGCGTGAGCCACAAGCGGCTCTTGGGGGGTCTCCTGCGGCTCTGTGCAGCGCATGATGTTATTAACCAAGCCGGATGCTTTTACTACGTAATTAACCAATTCAGTTAGCAGCTTGCTCTAAGTTAGTAATTTATTTGCTGTGAGAATAATTATATATAAAACCAAGTATTTCCCCTGTCGGTCGTGCTGCGGGGGCTTTTGGGGGCGCGTTGATCGCTAATTTGGCTCCTGAACCCCTAAGTTCTGAGTATCGCTGGCCAGAAACTTCAGTCCGTCTGCTGCAGGTGTTTCTGATGTGCAGGATTTGTGGTGGCTTCATGCCTGGGCCTTTGCGGGTTTGATAATCACCTGGTTGCTGTAAGGAGATGTAGGTACAAAATGTAGGTTGGGTGAAGGTTTTGTAAAACCCAACAGGAATAAACCCTCTTCCCTGTTGCATTTTAATTTAAATGAAATAGTTTTGGGTTTTTTTTAATCAAGCCCCTGCAGTGCTGAGTGGCACTGTGTTAACATGAGGACAGGAAGTGAAATGGACTATGAACAGGAAGGCTTCAGCACCCCCACTTTGGAGAAACTGAGGCGCAGAGAGCTATGCCTAGCCCAAAGTCATATAGGAAACTGGAAATCGAATCCAGCAGTCCTAGCTCCCTCTTGCTCTAGTTCTGTAGACCTCACTCCCCTCCCAGAGCATAGAATAGAAGCCAGGTGTCCTGACTCCCAGTTCCCCCCTCTCTAGTCCTGTAAACCCCCCTCCCCTCTCAGAGCTGGGCATAGACCACAGGAGTCCTGGGACTTGAACATGGGAATGTAATGGTCAAAGGGCTGAGCTGAGCTGAGCTGAGCTGAGCTGAGCGGGGAGGGACAGTTCAGTGGTTTGAGCATTAGCCTGCTAAACCCAGGGTTGAGTGTTCAATCCTTGAGGGGGCCATTTAGGGTTCTGAGGCAAAAATCTGTCTGGGGATTGGTCCTGCTTTGAGCAGGGGTTTGGACTAGATGCCTCCTGAGGTCCCTTCCAACCTCGATATTCTATGATCCTAGCAAAGCAAGACGTCTAGTTCCACCTCCCAAGCTGACTGAAGTGCAAAATGTGAACTAAAACCAGCCTACTTCATGAGGAGCCAAAGGAGATGGTTTCATTTTTTCTGTGTAATACTAGAGCAGAGTTTGATGTATTTATTATGTTGACCGTTTCCCTTTAATAAGTCATGTGGCGTATTCTCACTGGAGACTAGTCTGTCCAGCAAAACGCCAGCCATCAAAAACACAGAAATCAACAGAGAAATCTCAGTGCGGCGCGGTGTGCCGGCGGGAGGCGCTTAGCCGGCTTGGAGGGAGTCCTATCTGAGAAGGGACTGGAAGAGGATGCCTGAGTGAGGAGACGGGAAGTGAGTGCTGCGGTGGGATTCAATGAATGGACCTTAGCCGAAGTTCTGCATGCTCTGTATTGTGTGGGGCGTTGGTAACGGTGTAGCGCTGTAATGTCTGTATGTGGTCTTGCATTTGCTTTCTTTTTCCTTCAAAAGAACAATTAAAATAATATCAACTAAAAGTAAGTGTGTCAGCTGGGGCCTCACACGCCGTTCTCTCTAAGGGCCGGGAGGTGGCTGTGTCGTGCAGATCTCATTCTCTGCCCCACAGCTGAGGGGCAGGAGCCAGTGAGAAATGGGAGAAGGGTGCTTTGCCGGAGTGCAGGTCAGCGTCTCTGTACAATGGGCATGGAGGCCAGTCCTGAGAAGTGCAGATAGTGGCCAGGCCGAGCACTGCAGAACAGATAAACTAGTCCAGTGGTTCTCAACCAGGGGTCCAGGGCCCCCTATGGGGCCTCGAGCAGGTTTCAGGGGGGCCTCCAAGCAGGGCCAGCATTAGACTCGCTGGGACCCAGGGCAGAAAGCCAAAGCCTCTTTGCATAAGGCTGAAGCCCAGGGCCCCGAGCCTCCCCAGCTGGGCTGAAGCTGAAGTCTGAGCAATGTAGCTTCATGGGGGGCCCCTGGGGCCCCAGGCAACTGTCCTGCTGGCTAGCCCTTAATGCCAGCCCTGGCTTTTCTATGCAGAAAACCAGTTGTGGCCCAGGTGGGCCATGGAGATTTTATAGCATGGAGGGAGGGGCTCAGAAAGAAAAACGCTGAGACCCCCTGTGCTGGATGGAGAATCTCTGACCCCAGTCAGACGACCGCTCCAAGGAAAGCCAGGTGATTAACCAGCCGTGCTGAGCGCCAGCGTTTAATCACACAGCTCTCTATTGCACCCCTCAGGCGCTGGCTGCGTGGGTCCCAGGGGCCGGTGGAGCAGTGGGAAGCGGTGAAGAGCCGGCTGGCTGCATGATGCTGATTCGGTCGGTTTCCAGCTTCTACACTGCAGCTACAGCGACAGCCAATATTTCCCCGGTGTCACTTTTCCATAACGCAAACTGCTCTTGTCGTAACTGTAGTTTAGCCTGGGATCAAGCCTGGGCCGTGGTGCAAGTGGAATCCATTTCTTACCGCTACACAGGGAGCCATGGGGGGCATGTGACCCTCCACGTGACTCCACCCCGCCCCCAGCCAGGGGCCCCCACGCTCGGCGAAAGGAGCAGAACATGGGGCCGCTGGGCAGCCCCACGCCTACAGCTCCCCCAGCGCGGCTGTATCGCCCCCAGCCCTTCCCTGCAGGGTCTCCTCTGTCTGTACAGCGGCCGGCCTGCTGGAGCACAGGGCTGGGGGCTGGTACAGCAGCGGTGCCGGAGGAACTGCCGGTGGGGGGCCACCCGGTGGCCTGACGTTTTGCTCCTTTCCCCTTTGTGGGTCAGGGCTCTCGCGGGAACCGCAGCGGGGAAAGGAGCAGAACGCCAGCCGCTCCTCCCGGGGCTGGACTGCCCCAGCCCTGTCCTCCGGCGCGGCTGCTGTCAGACGGCGGAGACCTGCGGGGAAGGGCTGGGGGTGGTACAGCTGCCCGCCCAGTGGCCCCACGTTCGGCTGCTCCTCTTTTCGGTACGCTGTACCAGCTATAAATATCTTGCAGGTACGGCGGACCGGACCGGCCCAGACTGTCCTACGTACACTGCTGAGCCTGGGCAAAATACTGGAAGAGCTGATGAGGGATTGAGTTGATTAAAGAATTAAAGGATGGGAATGTAATTAATGCCAGACAACATGGTTTTATGGAAC